CAAATCTCCTCTTGAACTGTAGTTCCCATAATCCCCACATGTTGTGGGAGGGACCCAATCGGAAGTGATTGAATCATGGTGGCCGTTATTTCCATGCTGTTCTCGTGATATTAACCGAGTTCTCATGAGATCTGATGGTTTTATAAGGGGCTTCCCCTTGCCCACTTCACTCTACACGTTTCCTTTCTGCCCTCATGTGCAGGATATGTTTACTTCCCCTTCCACGTGATTGTAAGTTTCCTGAGGCCTCCCCAGCTGTGTTGAACTGAGTCAATTAAACCTCTTTCCTTTATAAATTACCCAGTCTTGGATAGGTCCTTACAGGAGCATGAAAACAGATTAATGCACACCCGGTCAACCAAGAGCTCTGATAAAAAATTTATCCCAAGAAATGAAAACTAAGTTTATTCAAAAACCTGCATACAAATATTTATCACAGATTTATTTATAATAGCTTCAAACAAAGTAATACAGATGCCAACTCTAAAAGATTGAATACTATAATTTATGTACAATGTAATTTATATATTAATGTAATTTATATAACGTTCTTGAAATAAAATATAGAAATAGAGAACATATCAGTGGTTGCCAAGGGTTAAGACTGGGGTGAGGAGGAACTAGATGTGGTGACAAAAGGGCAGTATTTGAGAGATCCTTGTTCATGGTGATGGAAATGCTCTGTACCATGACTGTATCAATGCTAACATCCTGGTTTTGATATTGTAGTATAGTTCTGTTAGATTTAACCATTGGTGAAAATTAGATAGCATGCATACAAGGTCTCTGTTATTTCTTATAATTACATATGAGTCTACAATTACCCTCAAAGAGATAATTTAATAAACAATGACCTTCATTTTTATGTGTTTTATATTATGGCTGTACCTCTATATGCAGGTTTTAATATTATTTATATCTTTATTTATTAAAATTCCTTGATTTCTGTAAGTTTCAAGAAGGGAGAAGTTTCATTTTAAAAATCTAAGAATTCAAGATTGAAGTCTACATTTAAACTTCAATAAGATACAATGATCTAATTCTTACCCTTTAAGATTTCAAATACAGGTGAAATTGTATCTATTTCAGTCAGATCACAACTGTATGGGGTTATGTATCCTTAGCTAACTGTTGTCACATCTTATAGATACCCTTAAGTATCTGTAATAACATATTACATTGATATTCCAATTTTCCAGGCTATTAGAATCTTTCAATTCCATTATCTCTTTTTATATTTATGAGAACTGCAAGCAGTTGGTAGAGCATATATTATGATCATCAGTGTTTTCTATGAAATAAAACAGGACATCAGAGTCTTTAAGTGAACCAGCTCATGTTTCCATGGTTAACAAGTACCAGACCAGGAACTAGAATTTTGCCTCTGAAAAACTTCCTTCTACATAATGCTGCTACAAAATGTTAACTGCCTTTGTGCTTATCTCCTTCTCACATATAATAGTACTTTTTTTTTTTAGACTGGAACAAGTGTGAATCTGCTCTTTTCTGAAAGGTGCCACTTTTAATATAGTAGTGTTCTTTCTTTAAGCATGATAAGGTCAGCTCTATCTATAAATTGTCTTCAATCTTAGTTATTGAGATATAAAAGTGAGTCAGTTCTTCACAACCAAGGGCATTAAAAAACATCCAGTAATTTCTATCTAAAAAAGAAAGATTAGAACCAGAGGAGCCATGTTGTTTTCTATTTAACAAAATTTTTAGACAACAGTTAGTATTTTTAAGGAAAAATATAAACCTTATTTGGAATTAAAATGCATTCCATTGAAAGAGGCATAGCATTGCCCCTCATAAACAAGATGACCAACTATACTCAAAAATTTGAAGTAAAAGTCATATCCCCCATGATGGAAGAGCATTTTCTTCATAATTAAAATGAACTGTTGGTACCCCTGATCTGTCTGGACAGAATACCTTCTAACTGACTTGACCAAACTATAGTCAAAGTTCTCTCCCCGCCACAAGGCAAGTCCCTTAAGTGTTGCTCACATTTAGCTTGAGCTTGCATCAGAATGGAATATGGAACAACTCCTCCTTAACAGCCCAGTGAAAGATAAATCCTGCTCAACTGTCTGGTGACATCTCCAGCACATTTCATTTCTCCAAATTGGATTCTTTCTAGTCTTGTTTTCCTACCCCCAACCATGAAAGCAACTTACTTCTGCCTGAACTTAGAAACTCTTGCATATTCTTCCCATCAGAACATCCTCCTTATTGCAATAGACTTTTCTAATAAAATTTTTCCTTATCTAAGCCTGGATATTTTTAGTTGGCAATCAACAACAGGTATTGAAACACACAGGATGACAAAGAACAGGTAGTCATTACCCTCTCCAGGCCTAAAGGGGCAAGGGTAAAGAAACCAGGGGTCTGTTTTAGAGCTGCACCTATGGAATGGTAGTCACTCTACTGGAGTTTTGCTGTAGAAGGAGGTAGTTCTGTGAAAATCACAGTGTGATAGGAAGGGAGAGGAACATCTAAATACCTCCTTCTTTCTCTGTTGTCCTCTTATGTCTTGATGATGCCTCCCAGCCTAAAATAGGTAATAGATAGAGGGCAATGGACTGACTTATGTAATTCTTAGAGGTTAACTGCTCCTGCATCTATCACAGGGCCCAAAGCAGGACATTGAAGGGCATCTATGGACCTGGGAACAAACTGAAAACAGCTAGCACAACCTTTTTCTTTTAATCTGATATTTTTTTGTTTTTACATTTGAGCTTTTATTGTAACTTGTCTCATTATCATTTGTGGATATAGGCAGAGTCAGTGCATTAAGGAGTACAGATTTAAGAAGCAATTTTCAGAAATTTCAATAGCAATGAACAATTTCTGATTAGAAAATTCTACATTTGAATAACAACTTGAGTTTCACTTATTGTCTCACTGATGATTCCATGTTCAAGCTCATCAAACAATTTAGCTCAAAAAGTAGTATCCTGCATTATTAGAAATTGCTTCCTTGTTTTTATCAACAATAGAAAAGGAAGTTTAGATGTTGTTAGTTGCAAAATTAGTTTACAATTAAATAATGTGTCATCCATATTGATCTGATTAGGATTCATACAGGTGACATTCATGAAGGTGTATTACTACTTGATTTGCTAGCTCTGAACATCTGTAAAAACTGACTATAATTACTAGAAAATTCTGTGTCTTTCATAGCTCTTCTTAACCATCTCTGCCATCATTCTTTATATGATGCATTATAGATAGTGAAAACAAAGACTTAAGGATAATGAATCTCAAAATATGGAATATGTTACTAAATTCATTTATTTAGTATATATATTGAGCATCTATAATGTTCTAGGTATTGACTTTGGTATGAGTAGGGTTGCCTGATAAAATACAGCATTCAGTTAAATGTCAATTTCAAATGAGCAATGGATAATTATTTTAGCACAGGTATGTCCCATGCAGAGTATGATGTAACCCTTCAGAAAAACCCTTTATACTTGGTAACACTAAGGGGTAGCAATTAGCCATTTTAAATCTAGGCTATGAGAAACTTACATAAGCTTTAGAGAAGAAAAAAAATATTATTTCTTTATTTTATTTATTTTATATTATTATTCTGTAATGATTTGCTAATTCTGGCAGTCCTAGTCATGAGAATATAATGATGAACACAACATTACTTATATCCTCAAAAGGATTATAATGAACAAGATATTTGATAAAGAACTATAAAAATGAAATATCTAATCCCAAACTCTGGTGATAAGAATAAGGTAGTTAAAGTAATATTGGAATAGCAAGACTGGAGAGGCAGCTACATATACAAAAATCTTAAGGCAGAATGGATATTGACATATTCAAGGAACTGGAAAAAAGGTTGTTGTGGCTGCAGCTTGGAGGCCAAGAGAGAGTAGAAGAGATGATGCTAGAGATATCTCATGTAATCGACATATTTTTAGATTGTATCAAGATGTTTGATCTTTGTCCTAAAATTGATTAAGTTTATTCATAGGGAAGAAATAGAAATTTATAAATATGATTTGTACAGAGTACTTGAGAGAAACAATTAGATTTTTGTCCATATGAAAGACTGTAGAAGTTTCAATTAAGGAGGTAGCACTGGGTATGAAGGGAAGTGGCAAGATTAAATAAATATTTGAGAAGCAAAATAGAGAACTCAGGTATTGATCATGAGAAGTAAGAAAGAAGAAGGAATCAAGAATACATCTCAAGTTTGTGGCTTGAAGAAAAAGATGCAGAAGGGTAGACATGGAGAAAAGTTACAGTATTGCCATTGTGTAGTTTTGGACACATTAAGCTTTATGCTTCCTAAGAGGTTTACATGTAGAGATAGCAGATAATCAGTTAAAGAGATAAGTTTGTTGTTCAGAAAACAAAGTGTGCACTGGAATTTTTAGCAGATAGATAATTTTAAATACTGTACACTTATCTATCCATCATGAAATAATTTTTGAAATTGGCATGTTAACCAAATCATCAGTCATTTACCTGTATAAAGTTTTAATAGTTCTATATTTATTTTTAAAAAGTATAACTAGCATATCAAATCCATGATTCCTTGGAATAATTTTGTTATGGGTGAAGATGTTTTATCTGCCAGACCAGAGGATTTACAGAATTTTTCTCAGGCTGATATTTCAGCCTTACAGGGCTGAAACTGCTGCATGATCATTTGAGAGTATGGAAGATATACATGATCTAGATCGCGAGTGTGAATTCTCATGTAATTTATGTCAATGTGAGAGTTTCTTTCAGGAATTTAGTGAATGGTCACTCCCTAAGTCCCATTCTTTGTGGTATAACCAAGGAAGCTCTCATCACTTATGATATGTAAGAATGTTTAAAAGTTTAATTCATGAAGGTATAAAAATATCAATTGTATTAGGGAATATTTCATATCCCCTGTTTCATCCAATCTTGTAAAGAGTTTGGAAGTTGATAGGTCACTCCTTTTTCAAACTTATAACTGATGCTAACTGTCATCACCATGGAAATGCCTAGAACTCTTGATTTCTCTATTTCAAGAGTCCCATAGGAATGTCCAGACAAGCTTATGTAGATATCCTTCTTACAGGAACAATGGACAATACTGGAGCCAGGATCTGTCTACAGTATTCACATTAAGTTGGGTAATTTTTGTTTTGGTTAACTAACACATCCAAATAATGAGTATTGACTAAAATAGAAAATTATTTTGACTAAAATAGAGACTTGAAATACTAGAGAGGTGATCTTCATAATTATTTTTCTCCTCAGCAAATATCAAAAGTATTTTTTCCAAATAAAACTGCTTTTCACATATTACCAGATAATTTAACTCGTTTTAAATAAGAATGTATGTTATAAAGAGCTTCAAATGGTTTCTTGAATAAAACCTTAATGTGAAATCTGATATAGTATGAAAAACCAAAACTTTAGCTTAATGCTACTCATAAATGTAGATGCAAAACTTCTAAATTAAATATTTGGAAGCAGAATCTAGCAGTGTATCAAAAGACTATAACCAAGTAAGGCCTATTTTAGAATTTTAGTTATCAAGAAAAATAATAATAAACTTCATTTCATTCAAAATATTATAGGAGATAGACGGCCATGATAAAAATGGTCAAAAAGCATTTAATAGCAGTTAGCAACCATTATTAATTAAAGTGCTAAACAATGGGAAGAAAAGTAAGCTTCTAAAATATAATATACAGTTTTACCAAAATTCACATGGCAAGCATTATTCCAAAATGCAGCCAGAAAAAGGAAAAGGTGGTATCACTAATTTTATTCAATATTATTTTGGATATTTGAAACAATCACTGTAAATAAACAAGGAAGAAGTGTTAAAATTAGGTTACTTCATTCATTCTTTCCTTCTTCCTTTCTTCCTTCCTTCATTCATTCTCTTTTTTATTGGTATAATATAATTATACATGTAAAAATCTATAAAATCAAGTAAAAATTATATAGAATTATTAAAGGAATTTGGAAAAAAGGATGGACACATTATAATTAAAATATTAAAATCTGTATTTGCAATCACTAATAATAGTAGACAGGGGAAAACACAATATCAATGAGAGCTATATTTATCAATAAATTTGAAAATAATAGTGTAATATAAATATAAAGAAAGGGTAATAAATTTTATTTAAATATGTGATATAAAATAATATCAATAAGAGCACACACATAGTATATACTATGAGCCAGGCTTTACATTTATTATTATTTCAAATTTTTTGACTGTGTTTTAGACTTGTTTTGTGACCTGACATACGGTCTATTGCTGAGTCTGACCCTCAGATCTGACCGAGCAATGGACGAAAAGAGCTTGGCGACACAGTGTTTTGCCTGTGAGAGTGTGGCTAGGGGACCCCAAGGCTTACAGACCCCAAAGAGGGAGCCCGGCCCTGGAGCCCTGACATGCCAGAGATGCATATTTATTTTAGAACAGATTTAATGACAAAGATCTCAAGCAAACACTATTTGTGAGTAATTAACATTGCTGACCCCACAATTAGAGAGCAGTCATGCCTTCAGATGATCAAAGGTTGGTTTTCAGGGAAATGGGTAAACAAGCTATTTAGATAAACTCCTCTACATTCCCTTGTTATCTGCTCTTTGCTCTTAGCTCAAGGTAAGATTAGGCTGCCTTCAGCCATAACCTTTTCCCAAAGTTTTGCAAAACCTTCTGGTCTTCCAAGAAGGTTCGCATCTTTCCTATAATTTTTTCCCACCACTCTGACTGATCTCTCACATCTCCCTCTTTTCTGTTTCTTCCAGCAGGTTTTGTGGATTGAAGAGTACAGATGTGTGCAGCAACAGTTTTGTCAGGCGCAGCAGTTATAAGTCATGTTCTGGCTTTGCATCCTAGAATTGGTAAGTAACATAAGACAAATATGAGTATAATCAGTAGCACTATTTTTCCAGTCAAGGAGTTACCTGTAGTGTTACTGGGCACCTCAGTCCAATGTGTGCCATTACTGAGGGACCCTACTGGGGGTGTGTTAATCCTTTCTAGCCAAGCAGTTGCATTGTTAGAGGCTAGAAAGGGAGTGTCTGCCTAAGTAACAGGCAGAGAAAGGGCAGATTTAGAAGATGGGCTTAATAGACTATAACAGGTACAGGTAGCATGCAAAGTGAGAGAATAAAAAGAGAACAAATTATCTGGAGTGAGTTGTGTTTGTGTTTACAGCAAGATTTGCTTAGCCTTCTGAGTTGTCTTCTTCAGCATCCTGTTTAGGGCCTGTGTTGTCCTAGGAAGCCACATTGTCTGGGGCTGCAGGTCCTGCAGCGTCATTCCCTGCATTTCTGGTACTGGATTGGTTCCTAGCTATGCTATGGTATAGTTTGATGCATCATGTGGGAATCCAAAGAGGACCTGAGGGGCTGTGAACTCAAGCATATCCTCTTCCCATGCTAACAAATCATTTGGATCACACCATACATTACTATTTATATCTTTCCATAAAACTGCAGGTTTTATGTCTTGAGAGGTTTTAGCAAAGTGCTTTTCCAAAGCTGATTAAAATTTCTTATCTACATTTTAAAAATTAAGGGTAAATAAGACTTGTGCTAGTAGTGTTGCAGGGGGTTTTTTTGTTTGTTTGTTTTTTGAGCATATTTCTAAGGGTGAACTACTTTTGTAGGCCAAACTACAGGATTACGAGATAAGAACTAAAGTAGTTTGTCAGCAGGAAGGGCATGCTCTATACAACCTGCATAATCAGAGAGTGCTATCTGAAGATCTAAAGATAGGAGCAAGACTGCTTCAAATTGCCTTTTACTCAAAGGAATTCTTATGACACCAGGGTCATAACCTAGCAATTGATTGCATTGTCTGCGGCCTGTATAAACAAATTTACGAACTAGCTGGATATAGGGGGATAGTGTTTTATTCCTGGTGTGTAAGCAAAAAACCCATTCTAGGAAGCACAGGTTGGGGGCAATCTGTCCTATTAATCCTGTGGGGAATGCTTAGTAGGAAAAACAAACAATTGGACTGAATATTTTGGGTCTATGTGACCTAGCTGCCTCTGAGAAATTGCCTGCTCTATTTCCTCAATTTCCTTTTTGTGCTGCAGGAGTTAAATACCTGGGAGAATCTAGGGCAGCATTGCCTTTTAAGATAGAAAACAGGTTTTGCAGCTTTTCGGCAGTTATGCCCAAGATGGGGAAAAGCCAGTTAATATCGCCTAGTAATTTTTGATAATCATTTAAGGTATGTAAGTTGCTAGTATTTAACCTTTTGAGAACTTAATGACCAGGAAGGTAGTAGGTATCTAAGATATTTCCAAGGAGAGGGCATTTGTATGTTTTCAGGTGCTATGATAAACTGTACTCTTTATGACAGAGGCATATAAACTTAAAAGTCCTGGCTCCAATGGGGCTACCAGTAATATATCGTCCATAAAATGAATAATTTTGCAATCAGAAAATTATTTTCTACTTGGGAGCAAAGCCTGATTTACCTGATATGACACATGGTAGGACTGTTCAGCATTCATTGAGGAAGCACTTTCCAATGAAATTGGTGAGCTGGCCTTTCATCATTGATAGCTGGTATTGTAAACACAATTTTTACTCTGTTCTGTTCTGTAAGGGGAATAGTATAAAAGCAGTCTTTTAAGTCAATAATGATTATAAGCCAATCTTGATGAATTGCCACAGGGGAAGGGAGCCCCCGTTGAAGAGCTCCCATAGGTTGCAGATTACCATTAATAGTCAGCAAGTCATGCAAAAGTCTCCATTTGCCAGAATTTTACGGGCCTTAACTAAGGCCCACAACATTAAAGATGTTACTGGGACCTGTTGCCCTTGCACATGATGCTGTTTAAAATTTCTCCACACTTGTTCCCAGAGCTCTACATCTAGTGTACCTTCTTTGCGGAACCATGGATTATGGGAAACAACACTTTGCATTAGGTCCCTTATTTGAGCCTGTAAAACCAAGCCTCCGCTAGTTTTAAACAGCTGTTTCAATACTTTTATATACTGTTTCTGTTGTGCTGATAACTGTTGTCCCATGATGAAACCCTAGCCTGAACAATTCCCTTGAACTTGGAAATCCCTAGTGGGCACCAATGACTTACTGACTTACTGATTTATTGACTGTGCAGTCTCTTCACTTTCCTTTTCGAGGGTTCCATTGTGATCTGCAATCCATTGCAGCATTCCTCACATGGGGGAACCAACTGCCGAGTCTGACCCACAGACTCTGGCCAAGCAACGGATAAAAAGAGTTTGCAGACACAGGTGTTTTGCCTGTGAGAGCATGGCTAGGGGAGCCCATGGCTTACAGACCCTGAAGAGGGAATCTTACTGTGCAGCCCCAATGTGTCAGAGATGCTCGTATTTATTTTTAGAACAGATTTAATGACAAAGGTCTTGAGCAAACACCATTTGTGGGTAATTAACATTGCCAATCCCCCAAGTAGAGAGCAGTCATATGTGTGGATGATCAAGGTTGTTTTCTGGGGAAATAGGTAAACAAGCTATTTAGATAAACTCCTCTACATTCCCTTGTTTTCTGCTCTTTGCTATTAGCTCAATGTAGGAGGATTAGGCTGCCTTCAGCCATAATCTTTTCCCAAAGCTTTTGCAAAACCTTCCAGCCTTCCAAGAAGGTTTATATCTTTCCTATAATTTTCCTACCACCCTGACCAATCTCCTAGAGCCTATCCTTGAGAATGGTTCATGTGCTGAAGTGAAGAATGTTATTCTGCAGCTATTGGTTGAAATATTCTATAAATATCTACTGGCTCCATTTGTTCTAAAATATAGGTTAAGTTTGATGTTTCTTTTATGAGCTTCTGTCTGGGAGATTTGTGCAATGCTGAAAATGGTGGTTGACATGTCCAGTTACTGTACTGAGTTCTAACTCTCTCTTTAGGTCTAATGATGTTTGCTTTATATATCTAGGTGCTCCAGTGTTGGGTACATATATATTTGCAATAGTTATATCCTCTTGCTGGACTGACTTCTTTATCATTATATAATGACCTTTTTGACTCTTCTTAAAGTTTTTTTCTTGAAATCTATTTTGTCTGATATAAGTGTAGCTATTTCCATTGGCATGAAATATCTTTTTTCATCCTATTACTTTCAGTCTATGCGTATCCTTACAGGTGAAGTGTGCTTGTTGTAGGCAACAACAGATCACTGGCTTTTGTTCTTTAATTCATTCAGCCACTCTATGTCTTTCGACTGGACAGTTTTGTCCATTTACAATCAATGCTACTATTGATAATTAGGGACTTACTTCTGCCATTTTGTTATTTGTTTTCTGTTAGTTTTTTGTGCTCTTCTTTTCCTTCCTTCTTGTCTTCTTTTTAGTGAAGATAATTTTCTCTGGTGGTATGATTTAATTTATTGCTTTTTATTTTTAGTATATCTGTTGCATGTTTTTCAATTTGAGGTTACTTTGAGGCTTGCAAATTTTATACTTATTGATATTCATTTATTCTTATTAGGTAGATATTATTATTTATTCCTATTATAAAAAATAGGAAACAAAAATACAGAGAGACAACATATCTTACCCAGAGCCACGCAAATAGTATGTATCAGAACCAGGAATTATTACATCCAAGTGATCTGCTCCAAGGTTCAGGTTCTTAATTACAAAAAAAAACACCTGACTCTATCTTGCCTAATGACAGGACATATTATTTTTTAAAATTGTAGATATTTAAGGTATAACACATGATATTTAGATATACATATACATATTGAAGTGATTACTTCTGTACAGCAAAGTTACATCATCTTGAATCAGAACACTTAATGCTAAGACAATATGAATCCTCAAAATTTATATGTAAATATAATGTATGAAATCCCACTGGGGGGACATTGTATAAAGTGATCATTAAGTTCATGTGTAATTAAAAAAATATGTAAGAAGAACCAACAAAACCAACTTTTTAAAAAAAAGAATAGTGAGGAGGCTTGACTTAGTAGATACTAAATCTGTATTTTTAAGTACTCACAAAGCTCCCTACTAACTTTTAGAAGAGGCTAAAGAATTTTCCATTAAGTGGTGCAGCATAGAAAGAATGGAGTTTTCTGTGTATTATTTATCAAAATTCCAGCAGACATCATTTTTAATGTTAAAACCATTCTATTAAAGCCAGAAAGAGGACATAGATGCTATCACTAATATTATTCAACATTATTTTAAAGTTACAGACAATGAGACTAGATGGTTTTTGTAAGAAATGAAAAAAATTAACATATTTACTTTATATCTACTGTTTTAAGCTGCCGGGCTTCTCAGATTCTTATTCCAATTGTATCAAGGATAGAGATGCCTATATATATTCTAGAAGGATTTCTAGAAGAAAAAATGTCTATTTGAAAAACACACAAATGAAAAAAATATTTGAACATCTTTTATGTTAATTAACAAAAGTTTCACTACACATTTAATAGAAAAATGTGAAGATTTGTTCTAAAAGTTGTCTCTCACTTCTGTAGTGTGAATTCATAATTAATGTCTTTCAAATCCTTATTTATTATTCCTGCAGTGTGGATACCTGATTAATGTACTTCAAATGTTAACTAAAAGCCCCTAGCATGTAGATGAATACATATTTATGTTATGCTGTCCACACTAAAGTACTCTAAAGTAGGTTACAGACAATTAGGCTAGTTACAGACAGTAGGACTAGACTTTTATTATGAGAAATAAAAGAAATAATCAGTTTATTTTGTGTTTGCTTTATAGTGAATTCTGAATTAAATGTCATCAATTAGTCACTTAAATAATTTTATACATGACTGTAAAATTCTGATATAAGGCAACATTACCTGTGTGATCTGGTATGAACTCTCATTATATCCTCTCTAGAGTAATGGTGAAAACAGCTAACTAATGA